CTTCCCCCGGTCCCCCCCCGGCCCCTAAATCTTACCTCGGCGGCTCCATACTTCCCCCATAAATCCCCGCGGCGCGACACGTGACAAACCCAAACAGAATCCTGAATTTCCACATTCTTCCACCCCCGCACTCGCAACTCACGCCCCCGCACAATGGAGCCAGTCAATGGGACCACTTGGACTAGAGTACCAGCTAGATTAACTAATTTGATATTTTTTTATTTTTATGATCTCTAGACTTTTTGAGATTTATGATCCACATGTTTTTTTTCCAACCTGAGTCTCAACTGATTTCCTGTTTTTGTAATTCTACTGTTGAGCATTTCTGAGTTTTAGAGAGAGAGAGAATAGAGAGAGTCAGTAATACATGTCGGGAATTTTGAGGTTACTAAATTTTTCATACATCCTACGTAATCCGGACCCTGAGATATGTAAAATTACAGCCAAATTCCCTAAGGAAAATAAAATTAACATCTATAAGGGGGAAAAATAGCCAATCAATGAGTGACTAGTTTTATCCCTTACTAAACTTTCTTTCCAACTTCAAAATACCTAGCATATCCCTTTGAACGTTCTCCGAGACCCAGTCTAACTATGGTATAGGAAGTCACCCTGAAGGGTCTCCGGATGTGAAAATGGTGACGGTCTGCTGGATTCCACCCTACTTTTTTCTTCAAAACAACCACCACAAACATTCCTAACCCAACCCCCCCCAAATAAATCCTACTCCTAAAAACTTATAATAAATGTATCTAGATAGCTACAGGCTCTTATACTGGAGTAAAAGCCACTAAGATAACAAGAGGAAGAAGAAGCATTTTGAGGTTGAGTTGTGGAGCTTTTATGGTCCGAAAGGGCAATCGACCTATGAATTCGGATTATCCTTAATTTGACAAAATGAACGTACAAATTTTCAGTCTTTGTGAAAAAATTTCATGTCCAAATTCTTTGGACTTTCTTCTTCAAAACAACCACCACAAATATTCCTAACCCAACCCCCCCAAATAAATCCTACTCCTAAAAAACTATAATAAATGTCTCTAGATAGCTATGGGCTCCTCTACTGGAGTAAAAGCCACTAAGATAATAATAAGAAGAAGCATTTTGAGGTTGAGTCGTGGAGCTTTCATGGCCCGAAAGGGCAACCGACCTATGAATTCGGACTATCCTTAATTTGACAAAATAAACATAAAAATTTACAGTCTCAGTGAAAAAATTTCATGTCCAAATTCCTTGGACGTCTCGTTCCACTGCGCCCCGCCCGGGGGCGGAATGTATATATCTTCCCGGCGCAGCGGAACCAATTTACTTCATATTTGCGCGACTCACTTTGACATTTATCCCTGCTTTTATTAAGGTCTTTTGTTGCGGGCCTTTGATTGTTGACCCGGTGACAGGCGGATGTTTCGGGAATTCTTTCTCTCGGCCAAGCAAGCCGGATTCTTCTCGAGGCAAAGCAGCGAGAATCGTAGCTACGTGAGTAAAGTTTTCTGCACTTTCTGACCTGGAAAAGGGACGCGAACCGCGCGCGACGCGGAGGAATTCTCCTCTCTTATTTCGGGAAAGATATTTGAGTAAAAGCTCTCCAGGTGCTTTTTCTAAGATATTTCGGTGATGGAGACGGGATGATACTCGTGGAGCGAGTCAATGAAGACGTATTTGATTTTGAAGCATGCTCTCCATTTAGCCGTCAGCGAAATTCCTCATGACAAAGCAAAATGAAGCTTAACTGTTGCCAAACGGCTGGGAATCAAGTACGCGATTTTTTTTGGGAAATCAACCCCTGTATGAAAGATTTAGATATGAGGATTGACACAGGTCGCGATTAGATATATTTCTGCGAAACGGAACTACGTGAATTATGACGTGAGCCCTGTTACGCATATATTCTTATGGGTCTCAGGGCTCATATCTTGATGCACATTTCTGTTTGACAGAAATACGTCCAATTAATTCAGGCGTTGGGTGCAGAAAGGGCATTCATTAGTTGCGATGTTTTGGAATTTCCACTGCTGATTTACATTTTAGAGAGCAAACTATGGGGTAAATTTTCTGGAATTTTTCGGTTTCAGCATCGTAAAATCATACAAAAATTCAGTATTAGTAACAACGAATTCCATAAATTTTCTTAAATTATAATGGACGAAAACTCAGTGGAGATTTTGAGACATCACCACCAGGAAATGCCCTTTCTGCACGCAGCGCTTTAATTGCGATTACGTGATAAATTAATCGCTACTGCATCAGAGTGGTTTGTGCGTTGCCTATTTATTGATTGCAGAGCTAAAATACGTTTCTGTATGGCTTGTCTCTTTTTCGAAAAAAGTAAAACTAGATTTGAGTCCTTTCGGTTTCATATGTATATTGGTTATCGTTTCCTACCGGGCAGATGTCACCATTATAATTCTGATCAAACCCGCACCTTATCACTTTCGACTTTCATGAGGCAGTGGCGTGGCGTGAATTGCGATATATCGATTGTTATGCCATTTAAACTTATGGTAATGAATCGATTATTAAGGTGGTCGCTACGAACACCCTATTTATCGATCCTTTTCCTTAGGTGTAAATGGCATAACAATCGATTATCGCAATTCACGCCACGCCACTATCATGAGGGCTCTCTATAATACCGACCGTGCACGGTGTGACACTTGCAACTCCGAACCCCTCGACAGCGATACCCACCCTGCCGTGATAGCGAAGATATCAGCAAGCGCATTTCTGTATGAGCCGTGATTAGCACACGCTTTTACGTGTCTCGAGGCTCATCCTAGCAGGCACTTACTGCTCTCTTCGCTATCACGGCAGGACCGCCTCTCGGAGGAGGCCATTGAAACGGAATCGACAAGTAGCGCGAAGAAGTACGAACCAAACTTTAGGTAATTATTTAGAAGGTGTAAGTCTCGAGCGATGCCGAACCATCGTGATAAAATCGGAATTCCTCGAGCCACCATCGCGTGAAATACGAGTTCCTCCGCACGGTCGGGCAGCCGCGGGCCCCGAACACGCACCACATGCTAATTCCCGCGCGGAAATTTTTCGCGGGCGTCTAACCTCGAACTCGAATTATTGCGCTGCGGGCAAGTTCGAGGGAGAGTGGCTCTAATTAAAACAAAGTTTGGCTTCCGCTCGCGGAACGCTGTTTCCAGCTTCCGATGTCGATTGCTTGTAAACTATAAGTAAATTTGAGGGGATTTGGCAATGGGACTTTGGTTTCCTGTGAGTTCTTGGCATGGAAGAGGGGCCTCAGCGCACTGTCGCTATCTCAAAGGAATCTTGTGATATTGTTGGTTGATATAGATCATAAAATAATACCTGGAGAACCGCAATGCAAACGCGACACTCATTACAGAGGCCCTTACTCACTGGAAAAAAAAATACACATTGGATCTAGAGTCCAGACTCTTGAAAACATCGACAAGAAAAAATACGCTTGATTCAACCAGATTTAAGCTTAAATCAAGAACCAAGCCTCTTAATTTGAGCAGATTTCCTTTTGATTTAAGCTTAAGTCTGATTGAATCAAGAGTATTTTTTCGTGTCAATGTTTTCAAGAGTCTTGACTCTAAATCCAATGTGTTTTTTTTCCAAAGCTCGAGTGTTTAAATAATAACTAGCTGCTTCAGCTCGCTACGCTCGCTTGCGCCGCTAGCCGGTGGCTTCGCCCCCTGGACCCCCAGTCACTCGCTCCGCGAGTGGATGTTGGCTCGCTTCGCGAGCCAAATTTTGCTACTACGAGTAATTAGAGGACTTCCAGGAAAATTTTAAATGATAAAAAAATGATAAATTCAAAAACAAAGAATAAGAAACTGATAATGATAACCACCTACTTCTAGAAAAAGAAACATCTTTGAAAAATAAAAAACACTCCTTGAAAAGAAAATCAAAACACTTTGTGAAAATTTAACGGTGCGAAAGGGTGAACATTAATCACCGATTCTCTTGGAAGAACACATGAGCTGCTGTAAAAAAGTTAATTATTAATAAAACCTGTGCTGCCGTAAAAAGGAAAATTATCTTCTGAAAAATACACATCAAAATTAAGTAATTTTCATGTAAAAAAAAAATATAATGATAAAATCATGAAAGCAAAACTCTAGACGCACTACTGAGAAACCTGGACAAACCGAAAACTGATTATGAGCAATTCGACGGAGGAAGCCGAGATTTCGGGGTGTTCCGAGTCAGACGGCATAAGAAAGGGAGTGATACTGACAAAGGACCCATGCCAGAGCAGAAGGGTGACACGTACTAACGGCAGGTAGGGATGGGTTTACGTGGAGAGGGAAACGGAAAATCAGAGGGTGGGAGGTCCCCCAACCTTATGACTCGTCCAGCGGCAAAGACGAAAATATTTCGTTATCAAATCGAGGTAAATTTTGCAACGTCGGTCGCGCAAATTGAAAAACTAAGGAATGTTGGCACGTCTACAGCCTAAGAGCTTTCATTTAAAACAAATCCGAGCAAAATCGGTCCAGTAGTTTCCGAGATCGAATTAGCACAAACTGTTGGAGGCCAAAAAAGGCCTTAGGATATTAAATATATAGATAATTCATATTCTTATTTTTATATAATTTACACGTCGATGATAGGAGTATACGAATACGCATTCCCATTGCAACATTTCAAAACTTTAACACACAAACAACAAATATTTTACTGAACGTTCTGTAACAAAAATACACACAAAAGCCAAAATAATTCAACTAAAAAACACAAGGAAACAAGTATCAAAAACTAAAAAACTGCAAAACTTAAAGCCTAGGACGTTTTGGTGTGGTTTCGACCTCTTTCTCAACCAGGATACAAAAATATACAAAAAATTGTATAGATCAAAATACATAGACCCCCATTTTGAAATAATTTTGATTCTTATACTTTTCTAATATATTTTTGTTTCCTGGCCGAGAATGGGGTTAAAACCACCCCAAAACGCCCCAGGCTTTGGGTTTTTATGGCTGTTTTATTTATTTAAGAGATAATTTTTAACGTCTTACCTCACGTCGCCTTTTTCGAGCATGACCTCTTCGAATAACACCCTGACCCGTTCTCTGCTCCTGGAAATAAAGAACACAGAAAATTAAGAAATTCTTGGCATAAACTCGTTTCTATCCGACTAAAATAACAGAGGCCTTCATCAAAGGCTTAGGGGTGCAAACTGTCGTTGATTGTGCGATCGAATATTCCCCAGACCCCCATGTTTTCTTGTTAAAATTTTTTCCTGTTATTTCTTTTCCGGAGAAAAGATTTTCTTTTCCATTGAAAACTAAAATTTTCTTTCAGTTGAAAAAAATTCCTCTTCGAAAGAAAAGGTAATTCCTTTCTTCGGAAAAGGAAAACCGCTGTAGTGCGCGATTAGACTCACGTAGAGTATTATGTCTCTTGGGACCGGGTAACTCAAAATTCCGGTAACGAGTGTGAAATTAAAACGTTAATGTCTTAATTAGGAGTTGATCTCAGTAATTTTTGATGCAAGAATCGTGTTTTACGTAAAATTCTGGTTAAGAAACATGTCTGGTTAAGAATGCTTAAATTCGCACCTGGTCTAGTTGTCCATTTTAATGGCACATTCGAGCGATAAAAAAAGCGTCCACTTTCTATCCCGAAAAGTATGACTCGAGAGGGAAGGAACATGAACGGTATAATCTGTGTGGAACTTCTGAATTTTTAACAATTCAATCTGTGCGCCTAATGTGAAATGACCATTAAAAGCCGATTGGACATACCAATAACTTATCAATTCCGGTCCGCGATTCTACTTCACCCTCGTGTATGTCCCCAGCAAAGCTGCCAGATTTTTCCACTAAAAAAAGGGCGAATTCAAGCTTTTGATACAGGGATTCTCATCGAAATATCTCGCAGGATTTTGTCAACGCAAACTATCGAAAGAACTTTTTCTCAAAGGTATAGCAGCTTTAGATGCATAAATTGAAACTTCCCGCTCATTAAAAAACAATTATCTTCTCGAGTTGAATCGCACCCTAACGTTACTGTAACAGTCTCCTCGGTATAAATATATGGAAACCTTGGCGCTTTGGCTCAGCTGTAGAACGTTGTTCACACTTTGCGCACAACAGGGTGTCAAACTTCGCACTTCAAACTTTCTTAATCACCGCAACATAAAAAAGTTACCATTAGGCCAAGATAGTAACGTTAGTAACGTAACCTAACTCCAAAGTTAGTATATAGAAGTTATTTTCGCTGCGGGGATCTTGCTTTACGCGTTTTGAAGTTGAAATATCCATCAGAATGCTTTTTGTACCTTTGCATCAATCGAGTAATTCTTTGGCCATGAGTCATCATTACGCGATTCTGAGCTTTGACTTTTGAGACTAACTTTTATATTGCGAGAAAAATAGTAGTGCGGGGTCACTAAAGCTTTTGCCTCTGGGTCCATTCATTCTAGGATTAGGGCAAACGTGCAGTGGCCGTTTGCCCTTAAAATGGAGCATAAACAATAGCATTCTCTTCGGTGGACTTGGCACTCGTCATTAAATAACTGAAATGGAAAATTCGCTCGCAAATTTATAACTTTATCTAAAAGTGCTTAAGGAGCTGCTTTTGCAGTATTCTTTATAATTTATTTCTGATATAGAAAATAGTATGAAGTTAGATTTAAAAGTAAGGCAATTTACCGTCTGGTGTCGTCATCTGGCGGAATTTCCCATTTAAACATATGTATTTTAGTTAATTGGATCTTTTTGTCAGATTTTCTCCAAGAATTGTTCAATTTATGCATCTTTGTGTTCAGTTCACTCAGGAGCTTCCACTTTAACATAGAGCTCATCAAATTTTTGACATCGGATTGTCTGTGGGGAAATGCGTCACACCTTACAGAGGCAATTTGGACGTATATCTGTGAAACGGAACTAAGCGCCATAGGGGGAGGAAGGTAGAGGGGGGCTTGGATTGGCGACGGAATTGGGCGTCGGACTCATTCCGTCCTATACTCGCAATGCTTTTCCATGGCGCTTAATTCCGTTTGACAGAACGCGCTATCCGGCATTCTAAATTCCTCAAAAGGAACTCAAATTGTCGCTTAGTTCTGTTTGACAGTAATACGTCCATTTATCACGTTTGCAACACTAATTTCCTCCATTTAGTTTAACTAAAAATATCGATTTTCGGTAAGGAAAGCCTTACCAAGAATCGACTTTATAACATTCATTGAAATTAAGGAAAAACAGTGCCACCAACTTTAAAGGATCCTCGCCTTTCTGGCGTAAGGATGTGACTGGATTTCTAAGTGAGCCCTGTTCTCCGTTTAACTCTTTGCTTTTCCGGGGCTCATGTGAAAATAGAGATACGCCCTTACGTTAGAGGAGTGACGAATCGACTTTATGACTGGGAACGGGAGGACGGGAGACGCTTCAACACTGTCTACCAGCGCACAGTGGATCGAGTTAATAAGAGAGGTCGGACAACATTTGGAAACTTTAAACGCTTATACCTCCGTCCGGAGGCTTGTGTCCACTCGTCAAAATTGCGTCAAAATGAAAGCTCAAAGTGAATCGATGAATACGACCTGTTCGCGATTTTTGATAATATAAAAAATGTCGCACCGCCCTATATTGAGTTGCAACACTCATCAAGCGCATCAAGTCCCGACTTTGAGAGCCACTTATCGTCGAGGTCCAATTACACGATCGAATTGAGCCATCAAATTGGGCCTCTCATTGGTCGCATCCTCACTTCAGGTCTTTTTCCACCAATCAGAGCCTCAGTTTGATGGCTCAATTTGACCTTTTAACTGAACCTTAAAAAAGGATTCACTTTGAGGTTCAATTTGGACGCCATTTTGACGAGTGGAGACAGCGCTATGCAAAACTTTGAGATCCTAAAAGTGGTTCCATTGGTTTCCTCATGAACTTTCTGACTGGGAGCACTCCTTGAAATTTAAAATGTGACGAATTGAACATCAAAATTTGCAGTTTTAGTTAAACAATTTCATGTCCGACCTCACTAATTGACTGGATCCACTGTGCGGCGGCGCGGGCGGCCTAGTGTTTATTTATTTAATTCCGGGGGATTCCGGACTCCGGATTGGCTCGTCGAGGGCGGAGGATCCCGGATCCGGGGCGGCGCGGTGGCCAGGCCGCCACTGATTCATTATTCAGCGGAGCAGCTCGAGAGCCACCGATTATCGCCGACGCTACCGACCAATTGATCTCTTTTATCTCCCGAGCCCGACTCCCTCCAAATCGCCTTCGCATCGTTTGCTTCAGTCCATCCCTTTAGAGTGCCGCCACCGATCCTCCATTACGACGAAAATTTCGAGGCTCTGGTGATACAATTTTAGATGAAGACTTAGGTTTATCTACAGCTCCGTGAAGTAAGAAATTTCTCCGCGCAGGGGGCGCCACCGTTGTGTTTTGACTTTTTGGTCCACTCTATTAGAGTCCGTACAGCTAAACGTGAGCCCTTGAGCTCTTATGAAAGTTAAAGGAATTTCTGTTTAAATCGAGGAGTCATACGTTTTAGCCATAACATTATTCTTCCTATTGACACTAAACACGACGTGAAAAATAATTTCTGAAGCTCTGAAACTTGATCCCAGAAAAAAGTAGGGTTAAGCATGATGACCTTGATGCAACCAATCGCGATTGATCGCTCTCAGCAGTTGCCTCTCTCCAACCGTGGGCTGTTTCTCTTGCACTTACAGATATCCCGTCAGAGAAACTGGGATCAAGTTATAGATTTTACTGTTAAACTTTCAAAATGCGCGTTTGTTTCTAAGGATTCCAGACGTATGCTGCTACAACGTATGAGTCTTAGAATTTAAAATATTTATTGTGATATTTCAATAATCACTGATTTCGGAGTCGGATTTTAGCAGCGCGACGTGGTGGATTTTTTCGGAACTACAGCAGAAGATTCACCTCAAGACCGAGGGCCAGTTCTATCACGAATAAATCGTTTAAGGGGTTATTCCTTATATGTAATTGAATCAGTGAGAACGAAAACACACCAACTCGGCAACTCGAAAATGCTCAATTTTCTTTGAAGACAGTCAATTTTCCTGAAGGTCATTGAAATTAGCGCATCTGTTACAACTTGGACCTTTAAAGTGCGTCCTTAAGTATTTGTCTTTCGGCACCAAAAATCTTCTTAGACTTACTTCTTCGCCTACTGTGCAGTTTTGTGTGTCTTGATTATTTTCATTTTTTCGAGTAGGTGTGTTTCCGTTCTCACTGAATCAATTGTGGTACTACCTTAATTAAGCTCTTGCATGTGTCAGGAATATGCGATTTAAGTACTAAATCTTAAGGAATCTTCGCGAGAAACACGATGGTGCCACTGGTTTTCTCTGAAGTCAACCCCCAAGCTCAAACAAAGCTCTCAAAGTTGAGGCCGTAATGAACGGGATATCTCACGCTACCCTGAGAGCCCACCTCTATATCACGACAAAATCCCATGCAAAGACTGGGAGGAAGACAAGGTTGCCTCTTTGCTTGAGGACTCCAAGAAAGAAAACACGGCAACTCTGCTGGTGTATTTGCTCCCTTATCTTTGCATGGAGGGTTCGACTTGATATAGAGGTGGATTCTTAGGGTAGTGTGGGATACTTCTTCCATTACGACCTCAACTTTGAGAGCTATTTTTGAGCTTTGAAGTTGATTTAAGAGAAAACCAGAGGCGCCATTGCGTTTCTCGCGAAAATTTACGCAAAAAAGAGCGATTGTACCGTAAATACCTCACAAATGCAAGCCTCCTTTTAATTTTCCATCTCCAGCAATACCTCAAATTAAGAACTCAATCCCTTTATTCCCGAGTGCCTGAGTGCCAGTAATCCCACGATAGTATCCTCTTAAAATCGAAACGATTCGGAACCATATGAAATTGATAAATAGAACATGAAAACAAACTTTAAAAACATTATTTGACTGCGGAACGCATGTCATCATCATTCATTTTTGAGCGTGTCACGACACTTCTGCGTTTCATCGATCGCGCACACACACGGAGAGAATATTTTTCACTCCTTGTGGCAGGGTCCACGGGAAAGTTGAGCATCAGCGACTAATCCCGCAGGAGCTCCTAATGGTCAAGAGTTTCC